CCTCCTCCTCCTCCTCCTCCTCCTCCTCCTCCTCCTCCTCCATTCCTTCTCCTTATAGATAACTCCTCCCTGTCGCACCCCGAGGCCAGTTTTTTGGGCGGGCCGGGCGTTTCGCCTGAGACTTCCTCACCATGTATGACTCTGAAGCTAGAAAAGTGGCAACACTTTCACAGATGGAGGGCGGGTGGTTTTCAAAATGTGGCTCTCGCATTAGCGCCGCGCACATTGAGCTTCACGGATTGAGGGAGGGTGGTTTTCAAATTGTGGCTCTCGCCTGAGCGTCGCGCACATTATTTGCAAGAAACGAGGGAGCTTCACGGGTTGAGAGAGTAGTTTTCAAAATGTGGCTCTCGCCTTAGCGCCGCGCACATTCGTGTAAAAAATGCAAGGGCTTCAAGGATCGAGGGGGCGACTCCTTTTCAAAATGCGGCTCTCGCTTAAGCCCCGCGCACATTCGTTTTACAAATTTGCAAGAGTTGAACGGATTGAGGGCGGGTGGTTTTCAAATTGTGGCTCTCGCCTTAGCGCCACCCACCTTCGTTTTTCAAGATTGCAAGAGTTTCACGGCTGAAGGCGGGTCGTTTTCGAAATGTGGCTCTCGGCACATTCGTGCAAATAAATACAAGGGTTTCACGGATTCAGGGCAGGTCGTTTTCAAATTGTGGCTCTCGCCGTAGCGCCGCGCACATTCGCGCAAAACATTGCAAGAATTTCATGTATTGAAGGCGGGTCGTTTTCAAAATGTGGCTCTCGCCTTGGCGAGAGCCGCCCACATTTGTAGAAAATTGCAAGGGTTTCACGGATTGAGGGCGGTTCCTTTTCAAAATGTGGCTCTCGATTTAGCGCCGCGCGCATTCGTTTGAACAAATTGCAAGAGTTTCGCGGATTTCCATGATCAGCGTTCCAAAAATATAATGTGTTGGAAGGATTCAAGATTATGTGGGTGCAACAATTGTATTGGTTCGCGGTGTTGAAATCCAAACAATGGCGTTATGGCACGATTCCGGATCGCCAAAACGCAGCAGTCACGTTGTTACGTGGCGTTGCAATCCCGAAAACAATGTTTTGGCATGCTTCAGGCAACGTCGCTGATGACTCTTGGGTTTACACTGGTCCTCCTCCTCCTCCTCCTCCTCCTCCTCCTCTTCCTCCTCTTCCTCCTCCTCCTCCTCTTCGTCGGAACGGGCTGCATCGGCTCGGAGTCGGAATCAAATCGAATCGGCGGCGCCAGGATGCATAGCAGCGCCAGGCAAGCATCGGGCCGCATCGGATCGCCGAAGACTCGGAATCGGATCAAGTCGGGCGGGCCGGAGCCGATATCGAGTCGGATCGATCGGATCGAAATGGCCCCGGGGAGGGCAGGGGAGGGCGACGAGGGGGAGAGGGAGGCGCCTACGAAGCGGATGATCTGTGCTGCACGCTTCGCCTTGGGTCTCACTCTCAGTGGGCGCTCGTGCATTCTGACGCCATCCTGCCGCTTGTTCGCTCCCCCCCGAGGGCCTTCCCCAAGGGCGGGCTCTTCATCCCGAGTCGTTTCCTGCACGCCCCGGTGCCATGGGAGGGCTCCCGGAGCACGAAGAGGAGGAAAAACCTCTCAGGACCGTTTCCCCCAGGGCCCTCCTACTCAACTGGAGGAAGAGAAAACAGCACAAGCACTACATTTCGACGGTCCGCGCGGGTTGCTTGGATCTGCGGTGGACCCCCCCTCCCTGGCACGCGGAGCGCGCCAGGGGCGGCGCCGGAGGCGCCGCCAGAAGGGCCCAGCGGAGACCCAAGGAGCTCTTTCTGCTGCAATTCCTTGTTCGATCCGCGCCGACTTTTGCCCGCCGCTGGACAGCGCCCCCCTCGACGCCGCGCCCGGCTAGCGCAGCGGAGGCGGCTGGGGGCCCCAACGGGATGGCAGCCCCACATCGACCCCCGTCGCGGCCAGCCACCGCTCGCCGAAGGCGCTCCGACCCCCGTCGCAGCGCGACGACGAGGCGAGGTTGACCCCCGTCGGGAGGGGTACCCCCCACGCGTATTAAGAAACCCAGAGTGCAGGCCTCCTAGATGGGGTCCGAGTAGATGGGGTCGGAAGATCTCGGTGCACCGCCGATGTATCGGCGATGCATCGCGAATGCATCGGCGATGCATGGCGAATGCATCAGCGATGTATCGGCCAAGCACTGGCGACATCGGCGATGCATCGGCGGCGTCGGCGTGGAGAAAATTGGGCCCTTTATCGAGCCGCATCGCCGATGCTTCGCCCATGCATCGCCGAGCCATCGGCGATGCGGTGCGATTTTCCGACCCCGTCTACTTCGACCCCATCCAAGATCTAGGAGGCCTCGAGTCCGCGGTGGACAGACCCCCCTTTAGCAGGCCTCGTGTTCGTGAAAACGGCCTGGGACCAAAACCGACGGACCTGGACCCGCAGCAATGACGCCCGCGACGCCCATTTCGCGCACCGAAGACGGCCAAGTTCTTCATCGACGCGTCGGGGTAGGTTACCAGCCTGGAACATATCCCTATCCCTATGCTGGGCACCTCCTCATAACGATGCCAATCTTAGGGATTCCTGTATTTTTGAGGGCGAATCCCTGAGATTGCCATCGCCTTTTGGCGTGTCAATCTTAGGGATAGGGATACGTTCGAGGCTGGTGAATAGGAGGCCTGTCTACCTCCGATTGGGACCCCCAGCCAGCTCCGAGCAGCGGCCGCCCGAGCGGCGGCCCGCCGGCGGGCGCGGGCGGCGCAGGCGCGCGCGGAGCCGCGCCCGGGCGAGGCCGGGCGGCGGCCGGCTGCGCGCAGGAGGTGGCCCCGGGCAAGAGGGGCCTCCCTCCGTGCGCGGCCTTCCGGGGGCCGCGGGGAGGCCCCAACCCGAGCGCGCAAGATGCTGCTGTCGCATCGGGCTCACTCACCTGGGGGCCCCACTGGATGGAGGGTGAAAGAAGGGGCTTGCAGCAGGGAGTCTTCACTGGGGGCCGAATGGCCCATGTGTGCACCATGTATCGCTCATGTACGCGATCGGGTATGATTGGCGTCCAATGTTGGCGGTCACGGCGGTCATGGAATCCACCCCCAGCATGCCCGCACCGAAAGCCACTCCGGCGAAAGGTCACTCTCACGTGCAGCCGAAGTGATCACGGCCCGCCGTCGTCGCAGCACCCCGGGCCGCAGTCGCCCCCGCAATCGCCCTCCTCGCCATCCTCCGGCGGGGGGAAGTCCGACGCGTCCGGGCGGCCCGCGCGCGGCCGGAAGGCGCCGCCCGCCGCCTCGGCCAGCGCGGAGCGCACGTCGGCGGGCTCGAGGCGGTGCTTGGCCCAGTACTCTCCTCGAGGGCGCCCAAGTGGGAGGGGTCCCAAGAGGGGTGGGGCCCATATCGGGGCCCGAGGGACGCGAGCGGCCCGGGGCGGGCCGGGGGACGCATTCGAGCAAGAAGCGGCGCCCTGAGATCTGGGGAGATCTCATGACGCATGGCCCAGGCCATGATGCGCACCCCCCCCCCCCAATCATCACCCCCCTCTTGGTCGCCCCCATTCTCCGCTCACGTGGAACACGGGAATGTCGCACCAGTACCTGGCGCGCCACTCCCTGCTCGCTCACTGCGAGACGGCCGAGGGGTAAATCCAAGGCACTCGTCGCTTTGCCTGCTGTGATGGGCTCGCACAAGAACAGCCTCCCCCTCCTCTTGCTGCTGCTGCTGCCGCTCCTCCTCCTCCTCATCCTCCTCCTCCTCCTCCTCCTCTTCCTCCTCTTCCTCCTCCTTCTTTTTTCTCCCCCTCCTCCTCTTCCACCACCTCCTCCTCCTCCGCCTACTCTTTTTCCTCCTCCTTCTCCTCCTCATCCTCCTTCTCCACCTCCTCCTCCTCCTGCTCCTCCTCCTCCTTCTCCTCTTCCTCCTCCTCTCTCCTCCCCTCATCCTCCTCCTCATCCTCCTCCTCCTCCTCCTCCTCCTCATCATCATCATCATCATCATCATCATCATCATCATCATCATCACCACCATCATCATCATCATCATCATCATCATCACCACCATCATCATCATCTTCATCATCATCATCATCATCAGCAGCATCATCAGCAGCAGCATCATAATCATCATCATCAGCATCATCATCATCATCAGCAGCAGCGATGTCATCATCATCATCATCAGCAGCAGCATGATCATCATCATCAGCAACAGCAGCATCATAATCATCATCATCATAATCAACATCAGCATCAGCATCATTGTCATCATCAGCAGCATCATCATCCTTATCATTACCAGCATTATCATCATCGTCAGCATCATCCTCCTCATCATAATCAGCAGCATCAGCATCATCATCATCGACAGCATCATGAGCATTATCGCCACTATCAGCATCATCGTCGGCATGATCATCAAATGATCATCATCATTAGTAGCATCATCATCAGCATCATCACCATCACCATCACCAGCACCCCCATCATGATCATCATCATCACCACCACCCTTACCATGACCATCATCATCACCATCACCTACATCATCATCATCAGCAGCAGCATCCTCACCATCATCAACAACAATAACGACTAACAAACGCAACTACTACTACAACAAGAGACATAACACATAACGTCATCAGTATCAGCATCATCATGAACAGCAGCAGCACCACCAGCATCATAATAAACATCTGCATCGGCATCGACATCATCATAATCACCAGCATCCGCAGAATCAGCATCAGCAGCATCATCATCAGTATCATCGCAATCATAATCGGCACCGGCATCCGCATCATCGGCAACATCAGCATCAACAGCATCAGCATAACAATCGCCATCACCATCACCATCACCAACATCGTCATCATCATCGTCAGCATCAGCATGAGCATCCTCAGCATCCTCATCATCATCAACATTATCAACATCATCAACATCATCCCCCACATCCTCATTCCCAACATCCTCAATTCATACTCAACATTATCTTCATCCTTGTCCTCATGCTGCGTGACTCGCAAAACCACCGAATCCCGCGCACGGAAAACCACCCCCGACGACTCCCCAAGACAGACGGCCGAGAGTCAGTGGCTCACGCCACAGACCAGACGGTCCAGGACGCTGAGGCGAAGGGAGGGGGAGCAGAGGGAAAGGGAAAGGAGGAGTAGGCGGAGGAGGAGGAGAGGGCGACGAGGGGGGGGGGAGCATGAAGAGGAGGGAGGGAAAGGGCTGCAAGCCCGCCAGCGCCTGGCACGCCACTCCTCGTTCCCAGGGGCATCGATGTTCACGACGCGCAGATCGTACCTCCGAGCCGCTTGCATGCGCACGCGCGCGCGACATCCCTTCCTCGTCCTCCTCCTCCGCATCCCCATCATCCTTCTCCTCCTCTTCCTCCTCCTCCTGCGCCTCATCATCATCATCATCATCATCATCATCATCATCATCATCATCATCATCATCATCATCATCATCAACACCACCATCATCATCATCATCATGATCATCATCATCAGCATCATCAGCATCATCAGCATCAGCATCAGCATCATCATCAGCATCATCAGCATCAGCATCAGCATCAGCATCATCATCATTATCATTCTCATCAGCATCACCACCGCCACCATCACCTCCGTCGCCGTCGTCTTCGTCGTCGTTGCGTCGTCGTTGTCGTCGTCGTCGCCACTTCCGTCGTCAGCATAATCATGACCCTCATCATCATCATCATCATCACCACCACCACCATCACAATCACTATCATCACAATTACATGAACAGCATCGTGATCATCAGCAGCATCATCAGCCCCAGCGTCATTATCATTATCATCAGCATCATTGTCATCATCATCACTATCACCAGCATCATCATTATTAACATCAGCAATATCGTCATCATCAGCAGCATCAGCATCACCCCCAGTATCATCAACATACTCAACATAATCATCAACAACTTTGTGAGATCCGCATCGGCATCGTATCCATCAGCGTCACAATCGTCAGCATCAATAGCATCACCAGCATCATCATGATCAGCATCATGATCATCATCAGCAGCAGCAGCAGCATCAGCGTCGTCATCATCACCATCAGCAGCATCAGCATCAGCATAACCATTATCAACAACATAAGCAGCATCATCATCATCATCATCATCATCATCATCATCATCATCATCATCATCATCATCATCATCATCATCATCATCACCGATCATCATCATCCTCATCATCATCAGCATCTCATCATCATCATCAGCATCATCGGAATCAGCAGTATAAGAAGCAGCATGATCAGCAGGATCATGGTCATTATTATACCCCGTCAATATCATCGTCGTCATCGTGACCCCCAGTACAATCGACATCATCATACCGCCACTACCACCACCATAATCAGAATAATGTGAATCCTCAGCATGAGCATCATCAGCATCACCAGCGTCATCAGTATTATCATTTGCATCATCACAGCAGCAGCATTGTCGTCGTCATCGGCATCGACATCGACATCGCCATTGACCTCATCATCGCCATCGTCATCAGCATCACAATCACCAGTATCACCATCAACATCATCAGCATCAGCAGCATCACCGTCATAAACGTCATCATCATCAGCATCAGCATCATCATCATCGTCGTCGTCATCATCGTCGTCATCATCATTAGCATCATCAACAGCATCATCATCATCATCATTAACATCGTCAGCATCATCCTCATCATCATCAACATCATCATCATCGACGTCGTCGTCAGCAACATTGCCATCAGCATTCTTACCATCACCGCGTCGCGCGGTCGTCGTCATCATTGTCGTGGTCGTCATCGTCACGGTGGTGGTGGTGGTGGTGGTGGTGGTGGTGGTGGTGGTGGTGGTGGTGGTGGTGGTGGTGGTGGTGAGGGTGGTGGTGGTAGTGGTGGTGGTGGTGGTGGTCGCCATCGTCGTCATCGATTTTGCTGTCGGCATACTAATCGTATTGCTCATTATGATCCTTCTCCTGATCCACGTCATCCTCCTGGATGTCAAAGCTGAATCACTCCTGCAGGAGAAGGAGGAGCACAAGTTGAGTGAGGAGGAGGAGGAGGGGGAGGGAGACAAGGGCGGCAAGGAGGAGGGGGACGAGACGAGGGAAGGTGCAATAGGAGGGTGAGGACGACGAAAACAATGACGAACAAAAACCACGACGACAACGACGACGACGACGACGACGGCGGCGGCGGCGGCGGCGACGACGACGACGTCGACGACGCGGGCGCACGCCAAGCCGCACTCCCGCAGGACCGCCTCGGCCTTGTCGCAGAGCGGGCAGGCCGGCTTGCTGAAGAGCGTGACCTCTCCGGGCGCGCCGCCGCCGCAGGAGCGGGGAGCCGTGGGGGGCCAGGCGGGCCCGTACGACCAAGAGGACAGGGCTGGACCCAAACGTTGTTGCTCGTCTGGTGCTCGTTCTGTTTTTTGTTCTGCTCCACCTGTTGTTTCTGTGCCTCCCTGCCAGAACGAAAAACGAGACACGGCCGAAGTCCAGCAAAACAGCGTTTAGGTTTAAGTCGGGCCTGTCCCCCTACAGGGGGATCTTCGACTAAAAATTAAAAATACCAAAGAAATACTCAAAAAATAGTCAAAAATAGTCTGGGAACTATTTTTGGCATATTTGTTGATATTTTGGAGGTATGTTGGGGGTATGTTTTTATTTACCGTGGAAACTCAGAGATGGCAACCCAGAGCTGCAACCAGCTGGAAGCTGGAAGAGTGGAGATGGGTGAAGTCTCTCCGAGGGGCGAGTTTGTTCGACATTCCCCCATCAGTGCTTGCACTGAAGGGGTCCTAGCGGAAGGTGAAGGATTTGGCGAAAGTTCCCCGCCGATTTTGGTGGCAGGCTGGGTTCCCGGGTTCCTGTGTTCCCGGCTGCGGGTTCCTGGGTTCCCAGTTCCGGGTTCCGGGCCGATTTCGGAGGGCCGCGAGGTTCCCGGGTTCATGGGTTCCTGGTCGATCTTCTTATCGATCGATTTCACCATCGATCTCATTACCGACTTCTCGATCGATCTCACCATCGATCTCACAATCGATCTCACTATCAATCTCACAAGCGATCTCACTAGAGATCGCATGAGCGATCTCGCGAGCGATCTCGCGATCGATCTCACTATCGATCTCATTTAATCGATGTCACTCTCGGTCTCACGATCGACCTTACAATCGTCCTCACTATCGATGACACTATCGATATCATTATCGATCTCACTCGATCTCAAGATCCATAGTATCAATTTTCAAAGCATCCACTGATTGGGGTTTTCTCAGGTGTAAAAGATTTTGCATGTTTGGGGGTATGCAGAGGAGACCCACCACGTTGCTGACTGTGAACATGGAATCGTTCCCGAGAATTTTGAGGAACAGCCCAGGGGGGGAGAGGTGCTGTCACCCACAAGGGCACTCGGCGGCCGTTGGCAGGGTGGGGGGAAGGTGCGGTGCCTCGTATCTTAAGGAGTACCCGAGTACCCCTCGGAGCTGTCTAGACTGTTGGCGGCAGCCTTCCTGGACGTTCTGTCAGGCAGGGTGCCAGACGGAATGGTGGGCAATGAACTGCCCAAAGGAGGTGCCGCTCTGTTCGTTCCCCTCGACCCCTTCTTCGAGCCCGCACGGCAACATGACTGTGCGCTGGAAGTGCGGTGAGGTGAGGGACCCCAACTTTCATTCACGATGTGGACGCTTCGGGACTTTCCTCTTCAGCGGTGCAGCAGCAGGAGGGGGAGGAGGAGGAGGAAAGAGGAAGGAGGAGAAGGAGGGAAGGGGAAGGGGGAGGACGACAAGGACGGTGAAAGGACGTGGAGGTGGAGGATGAGGATGAGGATGAAGATGAGGAGGATGATGAGGACGAGGAGGAGGAGGAGGAGGGACGGACGACAACGACGAGGAGGAGGAGACGGAGGGAAGCATGAGGAAAAAAAAGAGAGGAGGGAGAAAAGAACGAGGAGGGGGAAGGATGACGGGCGGGGCTAAGAGGAGGAGGAGCAGCAGCAGGAGGAGGAGCAGGAGGAGGAGGAGGTGGATAGAGGAGGGCGCTGGCGCCGCAGGCGGCCTCTGGCACCACGGCGGCCTCTGGCCCCGTGGGCTCGGCCGACGCGGGCTCGCCCAGCAACAGCTGCTTCAACGTCTGGGCCGCCTGGGGGTCGTCGTCATCGTCGCCACCGCCGCTCACCGTCGGAGGGAGGATGAGGAGGAGGAAGAGGAGGAGGAGGACAAGAAGGAGAAGGAGGAGGAGGAGGAGGTGTAGGAGGAGAGGAGGAGGAGAAGGAGGAGAGTGGGGGAGGAGGAGGAGGAGGACGAGAGGAGGATGAGGAGGAGGAAGAGGACGAGGAGGAGGAGGAGGAGGAGGAGGAGGAGGAAGAGGAGGAGGAGGAGGAGGAGGAGGAGGAGGAGGGGAGGAGGAGGGGGAGAACGAGGACGAGAAGCAGGAGGCGGAGGAGGAGGAGAAGAGGGAGGAGGAGGAGGAGAGGAAAGAGAATGAAGAGGAGAAGGAGGAGGAGGAGGCGGGCCAATCTAAACCGAAGATGCATCAAAGATCTTGCGAAAAAAAAAGAACCTTCTCGTCAAGACCCCCCTTTTATAGACCTCTACTAAGAGTCAGTTGTGCTAGAGAAGTGCCCCGTTGAAAAAAACGCGTGAAAATCCTGAACCGTGCCAGAACACCATTCTTGGGACTTCAACGACGCGAATCATCGTTACCGTTGCGATTTGACCAGTCTGGACCGTGTCAGAACACTAGTCGTGGGACTTCAACGCAACGAATCATCGATACCGTTACGTCATGACGATCCTCAATCGTGCCATATCGCCGTTCCTGGTATTTCAACGCCACGAATCAACATAACTGGTACACCCTGGCAATGTTACATCCTGCCACAACACCATGTCTGGGGCGTGATCCGCGAGATTCCTGGAAACGGCTATAAACTAGTAGAACGACTGCGCGCGGCGCTAAGGCGGGATTCGCATGTTGTAAAGAAACCGCCCTGCATCCGTGGAACTATTCCACTGATCCCAACCATCCTGTGGTGTTAGGCCCTCGTTTTGAAGCGACAGCGCCTCGCGTCCCTCCTCTCCTCTCCTCTCCTCTCCTCCCCGCTCTTCTCCTCTCCGCTCCTCCTCTGCCCCCCTCCTCCCCATCCTCCCTCCTACAATCCGCTTCGTCGCCTTCCTGCGTTTCACCCACCCAGGACAACGCTTCGGGGGCCCATAGGGAGCTCCACCGAAGGCTCCAGTGGCAGGGTCCGCATGCGTCAGCGCCACCCAGGACAGCGCTTCGTGGCCCCAGAGAGGACCCCACCGAAGCCTCCAGTGACACGGCCCGCATGCGTCAACGCCACCCAGGACAGCGCTTCGTGGCCCCATAGGGGGCTCCACCGAAGGCTCCAATTACAGGGTCCGCATGCGTCAACGCCACACAGGACAGAGCATCGTGGTCCCATAGGGGGCTCCACCGAAGCATCCAGTGGCAGGGCCCGCATACGTCTCCCCCACCCAGGACAGCGCTTCGTGGCCCCATAGGGAGCTCCACCGAAGGCTCCAGTGGCAGGGCCCGCATGCGTCAGCGCCACCCAGGGCAGCGCTTCGTGGCCCCATAGGGAGCTCCACCGAAGGCTCCAATTACAGGGTCCGCATGCGTCAACGCCACCCAGGACAGCGCTTCGTGGCCCCATAGGGGGCTCCACCGAAGCCTCCAGTGGCTGGCAGGGCCCGCATGCGTCACCGCCACCCAGGGCAGCGCTTCGTGGCCCCATAGGGAGCTCCACCGGAGGCTCCAGTGGCAGGGTCCGCATGCGTCAGCGCCACCCAGGACAGCGCTTCGTGGCCCCATAGGGAGCTCCACCGAAGGCTCCAGTGGCAGGGTCCGCATGCGTCAACACCACACAGGACAGCGCTTCGTGGCCCCATAGGGGGCTCCACCGAAGGCTCCAGTGGCAGGGTCAGCGCGCGTCAACGCCACTCATGTAGGCACACCCCATCACACGGTTGGCGGCCCCATATGGAGCTCCACCGAAAGCCCCAGTGGCAGGGTCCGTATGCGCCACCGCCACCCATGACAGCGCATCGTGGCCCCAAAACGAGCTCTAACGCAGGTCCCAATGGCGCAGTTCGCATGCGTCTCCCCCACCTAGGACAGCGTTTCGTGGCCCCCAAGGGAGCTCCACCGAAAGGTTCCAGTGGCACCGTTCGCATGCGTCTCCACCACCTAGGACAGCGTTTCGTGGCCCCTCAGGGAGCCCCACCGAAGGCCCCAGTGGCACCGTTCGCATGCATCTCCCCCACCCAGGACAGCGTTTCGTGGCCCCATAGGGAGCTCCACCGAAGGTCCCAGTGGCGCCCTTCACATGCGTCTCCCCCACCCAGGACAGCGCTTCGTGGCCCCATAGGAAGCTCCACCGAAGGCGGCAGTGGCGCAGTTCGCATGCGTCTCCCCCACCCATGACAGAGCTTCGTGGCCCCATAAGGAGCTCTAACGCAGGTCGCAATGGCGCAGTTCGCATGCGTCTGCCCCACCTAGGACAGCGCTTCGTGACCCCGTAGGAAGCTCCACCGAAGGCCCCAATGGCGGTGTCCACATGCGTCCGCGCGACCGATTTCGGCGCACCCCTCGCACGTTCCGTGGTCCCACAATGGGCTCCACCGAAAGCGGTACCCACAAAGCGGCACTCGCAGCTGCGTATGGTTGGGTCCTCCGTCAGGCTAATTTTACATGGATGCGCGTGGCGTTAAGGCGAGAGTCACATGTTGAAAACGGCCCGCCCTCCATATGCGAAACCCTTGCAATGTTTAAAACGAATGTGCGCGACGTTGAGGCGAGAACTACATTTTGAAAACGGCCCGTGCTCCATCCGTGATATTATTGGATGTCTTAAGCTTCAGGATAATATAGAATGAAGAATATCACGCGAAACGCCCAGCCCGCCCTTTCGACCGGCCTCGGGGTGCAACAGGACGAGTTGTTTATGAGGAATGGAAAAAGGAATGGGGGAGGAACTGGGGAAGACGAGGAGGAGGGGGAGGAGGAGAAGGAGGAGGAGGAGGAGGAAGAGGAAGAGGGCGAGGGGGCGGAGTACAAGCTAGGTGCGCTCGCGCCAGATCTGACATCCTACCCCTCCCACCCATCCATTCCCGTGGCGCTGATCGGTTCGCCGTACGCCTACGCGTGACATAGAGGATCTGGAACTTTGAAGCGGACCCCATCGTGCGATGCGCAATCGGAGCAGGGCAGCTGTGTACTTTGGAGGAGGGTGTGGCGGATGAGCGGGGGAATGGGCGGGGGGGCGGAGGGCTGGAGGTTCGAGGCCTTCAGGCGTTTTCGAAGTTCTGGCGGCTGTCCAGCCTCTGGAGCCCTCCGAGATGGGGTCCGAGTAGATGGGGTCCAAAGGACCGCGCCGCACCGCCGCATCGGCGCCGTGGGGCGCGGAGAAAATCCTGCTCCGCATCGAGCCGCACCGCCGATGCATCGGCGATGGGACCCCATCTGGGAGGCCTAGAGTTATG